TTTATATTTTTTTTGTGGATTTGTTATCATAGGGAGGATTGAAGAATAGGAGGGCGAGCCATTTGCAGCAGGGGCAGAAGTTTAATTGCAAGCCATCGAAGAGGGTGAACTTAAGAAGTATATGCATTTAACCTTATTGATGTGAAATAGTAATACATACAACTGATAGCTTAATAATATTCGTTAAACGCACCTTTGTCCTTGTAAATTTAAGCTTAGAATTTCTGGAACTTTTTTATTTTTTTGAATATTATTTCTTTACCAGTTAAAAAATTGATTGTTAGACTTCATTGATGTTATAGGGCTCAGCCAATGTTGGAAAATCTGCATTCATCAATGCTGTCTCGAGTAAGCTCATCTCAACATCATATTTTTCCCTTAATTGCTTTTATTTTTGATGCACAGCTTTCAAAAATTACATCTAAGATATTTTCTCTTTTTCACTTTGCTTTTATCTTTATGGTGCTTTTTGCTTGCTTGTTGTCAAAGAAATCACTGAGCAGGCCATTATATTTCTCTCTTTTTTGTTGTCAGTTTAGTTGTATTTGGCCCTGTAGATTTTTTTTTTTTACATGGTACCACACATCAACCATGTATTTTTCTCCTTGTTTCAATTACCAAAGGGTGAGGCTACAGTTATATAGGAGACGATGATGTTAATGATTTGAGCAATCATTCAGCAGATGTAGGTGCTCTACCTTTTACGTGTTCTTGACTTGTTTTGGGTAAAGATATTCATTTAGTTTAATACATTTATGTTTCCTTGATTTAATGCAAGAACAACTTATAAGAGCGAAGTTCAGTTCGTGCAACTCATTCAGAAGCAACAGTGGAAATTCCAAAGGACAAATTGCCCGTGAAAGCTTAAATTAGTTATGATTGAACCAGAACCGTTCACTAATCTCACCACAGATAGACAATAGTTAAAGAAGAATTATGCATGAACGAGGAAGATGTGAAAGAACTACGACTTCAAATGGATAATTTAAATATTTCCAAGAATGGAGAGTGCTCCTAATTATACTCTACCGAAGGCAGTGAGGTAAGAAATCAGCTTCAACTAGATCATCCGTTTTCTTTTCTTATAAACACTTTCCCTCAATTCATGTCCATCAACCAATAAGGAAAATGTTTCTGTTCAAACCATGCCAGAAGATGGACAATCATTTGGTACACCGTCTGCTTCATCTATGTGCATGAAATGCAAGCGTGGAGGAACTGTTGCAGCTAATGAAGTTGGAATGGCTTCAAAACATGGATGGTACCAGTTGATAAGTCTGAAAGCTTAAATGAATTGACATCTCAAATAGTGAAGGTTTGTCAGAAATTGCTTGTGGCACGAATCCAGGTTATATCCTAATCATTAAAACTGTCAACACGTATTTCACATGCCATACTCGTTGGATGTACAAATTCATTTCATTAGGCATACGCTTATTTTAATTGTGTGCATATCGAATTCCATGTTCACATCACTGTGTAGTTTTATATGTATAAACTCAATTTTCGACTTTTAAATATGTGTTCCTTTCATTAAGTGAGTTCTTGCATTCATGTAAACTGAATTATTATCAATGTTTCTAATAACAGCAAGGTATTTTGGTTTGGAGATTTGAATTATCGCATCAATTTTGGACGCTGAAGTGAGGAAGAGTCCAAGAGGTTGTGTGTTAGAAGTTTCATTTGTACATATTTGTCATTTCTTATATATTTGTCCTTTTTATCTGATTTTTTCCACTTCTATAGGAGTTTTAACATTGTTACTAAAATGGTCATCCTCATCAATTTCAATTTCTTTTTACTTAACTGTTGTATGTTCTTTATCTCATATTCTAGAACAACAGAAGAACCTGAGTTCAAATGACCGTTTAATTCATTTTTCCCATTTCATGAAATATTTGCAATACAACCCGTTCCAATCCAGGTTTCATATATGGAATTTCAAGTCTGTTTTCAATTATCAATTTGGAATCCTTTTTCTAATGCCATAGCATACATACATTATACATTGTAAGAAAGATTAACTGATAAAAGAATCAATTCATACAATTATACAAACATTAGAGTCAAAAAATAACTTAAAATCACTCCACGCTATTAAATACCCAACTAAATTGCAGCACGTGC